TTACACCTTAAGTAGGAACCAAAAATGGGCAAATGAAACCCAAAGGTAGCAAAAGGAAGAAAATCATAAAGATTAGAGATAAATGAAATAGAGAATAGAAAAACAAGGGGAAGAAAAGCAATGTAACCAAATATTGGTTTTTTGGGAAAAACAATCCAAACTGACAAACCTTTAGCTAGGTTGATTAATTTAAAAAAAGAGAACAAGGACTCAACTAAAATGAGAAATGAAATAGGGGACTTTAGGACCAATTTGTATAGAAATAAAAGTGATAGTACTATGAAGAACTGACAACAAATTGAACAACCTAGATGAAATGGATAAATTCTTAGAAATGGATAAATTCCAAGAAAACTGTCCAAACTGAATCATGAACAGAAATCTGAACAGATCTATAGCTAGCAAGAAGACTGCATTAGTCATCAAAAACCTCCCCAAAACAGAAAAACCCAGAACCAGATGGCTTCACTAGTGAATGCTACCAAGCACTTAAAGATTTACATCCAATCTTCCTAAATCCCTTAAAAGAAAACTGAGTAAGAGGGAACGCCTCCAACTCCATTTTATGAGGCTAGTATTACCTCTATACCAAAGCCAGAAAAAGACACTTCCAGAAAAGAAAACTACAGACCAATATCCCTGATGAATACAGACACAAAAATCCACACACACACACAAAAAAAAAAAGAATTCAGGAGCACATTAAAAGGATCATACACCACAACCAAGTGGGATTTACTCCTGAAATGCAAGGATGGGTCAGCACAGGAAAATCCATTTATGTAATATACCACATGAACAGAAGGAAAGCAAAAAACTTAATGATCATCTCGAATGACACAGAGAAAGCATTTGACAAAACTCAACACTCATGATAAAAACACTCAACTAATAGAAGGAAACTACCTAACATAATAAAGGCCACATAAGACAAGCCCATAGCTAACATCACAGTCAACGGTGAAAGACTCAAAGCTGTTCCTCTAAGATCAGGAATATGAAAAGGATGCCTGCTTTTGTTTGCCACTTCTATTTAATACAGGACTAGAAATCCTAGACAGGGCAATTAGGCAAGAAAAAGAAATAAAAGGCATCCAAATTGGGAAGGAACAAGTTATCTGTGTTCTCAGATGACATGATCTTATAAAACCAACGTATATGTAGAAAACCCTAAAGATTCCACACAAAACACCTTTGAAAACTAACAAGCAAATTTGGCAAAGCTGCAGCATACAAAATCGACACCCAGTTATATTTCCGTACACTAACAATGAACAATCCAAAAAGGAAATTAATAATTCCATTTACACCAGCATCAAGAAGAAGAAAATACTTAGGAATAAACTTAACCAAGAACTTAAAAGACTTGGACACTGAAGGCTATAAAACATTGCTAAAGAAAGAAGATACAATTCACTGGAAAAACAGCTCATCTTCACGAATTGGAAGACAACAATCTTAAAATTGATATAGAATCTCAAAGGACCCCCAATAGCCAAAACAATGTTGAGAAAGAGGAAAGTCTCAAACTTTGTAGTTTCAAATCTTGCAACAAAGAAGCCACAGTAATAAAACACTATGGTACTAACAAACACAAGATCAATGAAACCGAATAGAGAACACAGAAATAAACCCTTGTGTATGTGTTCAAGGATGTCAAAACCATTCAGTGGAGAAAGTAGTCTTTTCATCAAATGATGGTAGGGAAAATAGACATCTCAAACAAAAAAAATGAAGTTGGATCTTTACCTTACACCATATATTAGCTCAAAATGGATCAAATGCCTAAATATGAGAACTAAAACTATAAAACTCTTAGAAGAAAACATAGGGTAAGTATCATGACATTGGATTTGGCAATTTGGCAATAATTTCTTAGGAGCAAACAACAAAAGAAGAAACAGACACTGAAGTTCATCAAATTAAAAACTTTGCTGCATAAGATGATACAATCAACAGAATATAAAGACAACCTATGGAATAGGAGAAAATATTTGCAAATCATTTCTATTAAAAGGTTAATATACCAAATATATAAAGAACTTCTACAACTCTACAACAAAACAACCTGATTTGAAAATGGTCAAAGGACTTGAATAGACTTTTCTCCAAAGGAGATATAAAAAATGGCCAAAAAGCACAAGAGAAAATGCTCAACATCATTAATCATTAGGGAAATGTGAATCAAAACCACAGGAGATACTACCTCACACCCATTAGCATGGCTCATTTTCTAATAGAAAGAACTAGAAAATAAAGGATAGTGAGGATGTGGAGAAGTTGGCACAACTGTGCCCTGCTGGTTGCAATGTAAAATAGTACAGCCAATATGGAACATAGTATAGAAGTTCCTCAAAAACTTGAAAATGAAGTTACCATTATGATTGAGCAATTCTACTTCTGGGCATGTACCCAAAAGACCTGGAAACAGGATCTCAAACAGATAATTGTACTACCATGGTCGTTGACTGCAGTATTATTCACAACAGCCAAAAGGTATAAGCAGCCCAGTGTCCACTGATGTAAAAACAGATAAGCAAAATGTGTATATACATTCGATGGAATATTATCCAGCCTTATAAAGGAAGGAAAGTCTGACACATGCTACAACGTGGAAGAACTTTGATGACATTATGCTAAGTGAAATAAGCCAGCCACAGAGAGACAAACACAGCGTGATCCCACTTACGTGAGGTAGCAAGAGCAGCCAAACTCAGAGACACAAAGTATAATATTGGTTTCCAGGGGCTGGTGGAAGGGATCATGGTGAGTTGCTTAATGGGGACAGTTTTAGTTTTGCAAGATGAAGAAGGTTCTGGAGATGAATGTTGGTGATGGCTGCCCAGCAATGTGAATGTACACAACAGTACTTCATGGTGTACTTATGTATGATTCAGATGGTAAATTTTACGTTATGTGTATTTTACCAGAATCAAAACATTTCTTAAATTGAAAAGCATTCACTAAGGACCTACTCCAGCTAGGCAGGCTGTTACAACAGCAAAAACTGTACTTATAAACACCATCATTATGAAGAATGAACACACTGAAGGAGACAAAATTCTAGGAGCAAGAACCCGTGTAGGCACACAACAGACACAAACCCTCAGGAATTCAGAACTGATTTATCCGACACAGACTGTCAATTTTGGCATGGATTTCAAATTTATTAAAAGTATGATACCACATTTGAAAAAGAACCAAATATACAATCTCAATGGATGACAGAAAAGGTATTTAATAAAATTCTCAAATGCATATATTTTATCTTTTAAAATTCTCTTAGCAAATGACGGATAGGAGGGACCTTCCTTAACCTGGTAACCTGAGGTGTTTGGTTTATAGCCTTGAACTTCATAGCTGATGGTGAGATTTCAGAAGCTTTCCTTTCAACGCCAGAAACCAGATAAAGATACACTCTATCTCTGCTTCTATTGCATGTCGTATTGAAGATCCCATCCCATTCACGAAACCAGAAAAATAAATGAGCTCAAGAGAATGGGAAGGAAGGGGCTTCTAAAACTCACCTGGTAACGGTGACTAGTACAGGGAGGGTCTGCCCTAAGGCGAAGAGGCCCAAGCTTCAGTGTGAGCTGCCATCCAAGGGGTGAGGCTCCCTCTTTCTGAAAATGGAGAGAAATCATTCAGAGGTCACCAAATGTTCTGGAAGCATCTGAATGTCCCTGCTGCTTTATGACATGGATACCCTCTCTTCACCCTTCAGGATTCGGCCCCTGAATTTCCTGTTGCCTGTGTTCAGCCCTCCCCTTAGGGGCTGGGGGGTGGGGTGACTTGGTCCTGTGTCTTGCAGGTGTAGGGACCCATCTGATCACACCTGCTTCTGGAGGGGAGCTGTCCTTGTAGCGAGGGCCCCACTGGGGCCGCAGAGCACTGGGGCCCCTGGGCACAATCCCAGCAAACAGCCTTCTCTTCTCTTTCTTTACAGTTTGAGGATTTTCATAAGCCAGAACCATGCTGCCATCCTTCACCTTCTACCACAATCGCAGCAACTTGCCAAGTTCAAGATTCTTGGCGGGGACAGAACAACCAGCACGAAATGCCAGGAAGCTCGGAGATCACACTTGCTCCAGATACAGGAAACAGGGGCTGTTAGTCAATGCATTTAAATATGTCTGGGGACAGTAAAGTCCACAATGGTCTGGATAATTCTCTGCCTTCTTCAACACCTGTGCTGACATCGAGGAGACAGTCTGGCCTGCGGGTCCCACCTCTAGAGTGGGTCCTCCACTCCAGCAACTGCTCTGGCCTAAGAAACTTGTTCTCAGGCCTCCACTGTATGAGCCCCACACCCTGGCGGGTCTTCCCAGCTTGGGATTGACTTCCCCTGCCCTCTGCATGAGGTTCTGATGGGCACTGCTGGCCCCCAACTCCCTACTCAACAAGCGTGGAGGTAGTGGGGGGTTGCTTTCTCTCTGAGGTGGATACCAAATCAGCTGGTTCGGGGGGCTTTGAGAAGGCTTCCTTCTGCAAGGGCCGGGTTCCACACACACGTGCTATGGGCTGCTGGGCACTCAGACCCCGAGGAGACCACCATCAGAGTGGTTCCCTTTCGGTGGGGGGCACGTTTGTCCCTTGAGTTTTCAACTGAAAAATAAATCTGGCAGAGTCCAAGAACACACCCACCAGGTTGGTGGGGCTAATTGCCCACTGGAGAGGGAGACATCAGGGGGGCCTGGGTGGCTCCCAGGGTGACCTCTGCCCACCAGTACAGGGCCCCTTAAGCCCTCTCTCCATTGAGTCTCAGGGCCCAGATGCCAGAGGCAAGGGCAAGGTGTCAGACAAAAATGGGAATGGGGAAGCCGGTCCCCACATTCCCACCCTGGAGGGAGAAGGGCGGGGAAGGGGGCTTCTGATTTATTGAGCGTGGGCCCTGCTTACCTGGGTTACAAACAGAAGACCCCAGGGGCCAGGCAGTGCTCTCTGAGGGAGGTCTGTTCTCTTCTTCCGCCTTACAGTAGCCTGATGAGAAACGGATGTACCTGGGTTACAAACAGAAGACCCCAGGGGCCAGGCAGTGCTCTCTGAGGGAGGTCTGTTCTCTTCTTCCGCCTTACAGTAGCCTGATGAGAAACGGATGGTGCATGTAATAGAGGAAGCAGGCTCAGAGAGCCCAGGGGACTTACACAAGGTCATCCAACCCGCAGACGGCCAGCTGGCCCTCACAGCCTGCCTGCCTCTCAAGGGTGCCGGACAGAGAATCTGCCATTTACTTTAAGGGAGTCAAGTGAACTTTAACCCGTCCCATGCCATCATATGTAGTGCTTGTTTTTTCCTAATATGCATTAAAATACCCCGTGAGCAGAAGCACACCTGTAACCACTGGAAGCACTGTGCCAGGCCTTGTTGCAGGGAACTCAGCCCAGGAGTAGGAGAGAAGGAGACAGTTCACAGTGGAAAGCAAATCACTGGAATGCAACCCGTTTGCAACCACACAACCTGTTGGTTTTGGCACCAGCTTAGTGGATAGGGATTTCCCATCCACACAGGAAACTGCCCAAGACTTCCCAACCTGCTCCCACACTCTGTCCACCCGGCACTTACCAAGAACACACCGCGGTGGGCTGGGAACCACTGGGACCCAAAGAGGGAAGGAAAAATGGTTCTTTCTCAAGGTGGGTTTGCCATCAACACTTTGCTATTTGGGGCATGTGGGTGGTTGTGCACACACATGTGCAGATGTTAGAAAAGCAGATGAGACAGGGAATGATTCCATTAAAAATGCCTACAAATATTCATGTCTATAGCATGTCAAGAGCAAGTACAAATAAATTTTTTAAAACTTGGGTCTCCATGAGATGAATTGTGAAAGATAGGAACAGGCAATTCAGAAGAGGGGAAATGACAGAGGAGCAAACATTAGGGGAAATTTTAATTTTACTGGGAAATTTATGGGCGACAAGGACTAGTTTTTAGCAGGTTTGTTAGGTGGATTCCTCTGGAGCTGCTAAGGCTCTAGAGTTCTTTCCAGTGATTCACTGTCCTTCCTGGTGTGGAGGCAGGAGGGTCACCTTGATGTGTCCCTTACATGTGATGATAATAGCAGTTATAACTTCATCTGTTATCATGCAAAAAAAAGTATTGAAATAATAATACCCAGAACTGGTGAGGCTGCAGGCAAAATGGATCCCCTCAAATTCTGTGAAGAGCAGTTTCCGTTAGTACATCCACAGTGTTTGAAAAGTATTTTTTAAAATATTCATTCCTTTGGCCTAGTAAGCCCACTCCTGTGACTTTATCCAAAATGAGGGAGGGATGGGAAACGATTCCAAACCAATTTTCAAAATAATTTCATCATTCAGTAGGATGAAAAATTATAGACAGCTAACAGGGAAATGATTTTGTAAAGTTGCGGTATATTAATTTGATATACTCTCTTGAACTCATTTGTCAAAGAGTTCCAACATGACGCAAAGTATGAATGTGGGGGAAAAAAAGATTAGGTTCCAAGTAAAGCAGAAGACAAGACTACATAGAAGTCTTCACTAAGGAGGACTGCATTCAGATAAAAATGGGTAAGGAACAACGGAAAACAGAAACGGTTCCCAGAGGAAGGGTGATCACACTGTAGGTAGTTATTTTTCTTTTAAAAATCTCTTTATAATATTTATGATGCTGTTTGCCCTGGATATTTTTAAAAACTAAGAAGACGGACGGAAGTGGAAGAAACCCAAGTATTCATCAATGGATGAATGGAAAGAAAAAGTGTGCATATACATACAATGGAATACTACTCAGCCTTGAAAAAGGAAGGGCTGTCTGAGGCATCCTACAAGGTGAGCAAACCTAGAAATAAGCCAGATACAAAAGGATGAATACTGTATGATTCCACTTACATGGGATACCCAGAGAAGTCAAAATCATGGAGACAGAAAGAATGGTGGTTAGCAGGGGCTGGTAATGCCACTGAAGGGGTTAAGATACAAATGTTATGTGTATTTTACTGGAGTTAAAAAAAGGAAGGAGATGAGAGGCTCAAGGAATTTTTTCCTGAAATCAGAGGAACTGGAGGAGCTGGGAGCAGTGTATGCTTATAGGGACAGGAGCCTCCAGGACAAGCGGGAAGGAGGAGACAGGTGAGTGAGGAAGAGGAGGGGAGCAGGTGGGGCCGGCCTTGGGGAGGGGGGCAGGCAAAACTTCCACATGAAGCTGCAGTTCTATCTTCAGGGATGATAACAGGCAACTCATTTCTGAGAAGAAAATTTCGCTAAGGGAGGGAAAAATAATCTTTCCCCTCGTAACCATCTTAGGTTCTCTGGCTGGGGTCCTGGAAATGAGACAGACTGAGAAGAGGAAAATGAGCCTATTGGTGTGCGCATCAAGCACGCACGTGGGAGAAATCAGCGGTGATTGATGCAAACGGGTGGTTAGAGCTTGTGCACCTAGGATCGTAGCAAAGGACAATGCCTTTTTAGAGAAGTGACAAGTCAAAGGAAAAGGACTTTGAGCTTCTAGAGGCAGCAAATTGTGGGAAAGTAAATATATGGGGACACTTATGGGCGATAAGGACTCGTTTTTAGCAGGTTTGTTATGTGGATTCCTCTGGGGCTGCTAAGGGTCTAGAGTTCTCTCCAGTGATTCCCTGTCCTTCCGGGTGTGGAGGGAGGAGGGACACCTTGACAGATCTAGTCCTGCTTTTAGGCTGACAGCCTTTCCTGGCTCTGCTCCTTCTCAGTTGCTTGCAGCGAAAAGAATCTTTATGCCCAAGGGGCATATATTCTGCTGCCCTTCACCTCCCTCAGTCCCATTCTTGCCACCTGCTGGGGCTATGACCAAATTAAACCGTGGCTGCTTAGGGAAGCCCATTTTACAACAGAAGGGGAGAGAAAAAACTGCTTATGTTTGCCTGTGTCCACCTGAGGATGACACTGGCCCAGGGAACACGCACCTTGGGAAGGACCAGCTCAGTGCTTCTTACCCTAACCTCACTTCTCGGCTGTTCTTCCACAGGGAAGGAGGGTAGAAACGAGGTCGCACTAGGGGCCCCCATTCTGCCTCTACCCAGAGAGGAGCCCGGCCCTTGGCTGCTCAGGGCAGAGGATGCTCCCCAGCGGCTAGCGCTGCCCCGGGGCTCTGGGGCCTGATGTCTTTGCCCATGTCTCCAAGACCCACTTGGAAGCGGGTATCATTTCCTGAATGTTCTCACAAATAAATAAACAGAAAAATGGCAGCTTTAAGTCAGTCTAAATATTGTCTTTACCTGAGGCATGGGGTTGGTAAGGTTAAGCTAATCACGACAAGATGGGATCTGTTTAAACAAGGCTGACTGTTTATGCAAGCAAACTTAGAAACCTCGAGGAAATGGTATCTTCTGAGAGGAAGAAAGTTATCAACAAAGGGTTCAGAACTAGTCTCCACAAGATGTGCCACTTTGGTGTGGTGACTACTATGAGCTGAAGCAATCGAGACCCTGCGGGCTACTCAAGAGATGCTCTGCCCCTCCCTACACTACCTTAAGAATCCAAATTGGAGTCTTCCCCAGAAGACAGGTTATTACCAGAGATTAATTTTATCTGACTGACGTGTCTGTGGGCAGGGCAAATGTTGAACCCCTTCTCTGCTTATTGCCTTGTGACTTGACCTATGCCCCCTTCAATCCCCAGGCCCCCTCTCATTCCTGAACTCTGGGTGGCATAGACATCTCATTTTACCTTTCTGTCTTTGGACCTCTCACGTATGTGAGGTTCACTTGCATATGAAAGCAAATTTGTTTCTCTCCTATTAATTGGTCTCACGTCAATTTAAATCTTAGACCAGCAAGAAGAACCTTTGTACAGAAGGGGAAAATTTTTCCTCCCCAACCTACCAAAAGAGAAACTTCCTAACTGTACCAGAGGAATTTAGAAAGTTAGAAAGATACCACCATCTCCCCAGCCCCACAATGGGGGAAGGGGAGGGACCAACCGCAGACCAGAGGGTTTCCCAGTTGAAGTCACCCAGGCCTTTAGGAAAGCTAATTCCTAAAGATAATTCCCATTTAAACTGTTCCAGGGCCTAGAAAAATTCCAGATTCAACAGGGACCTGTAGAACATTGATATCAAAAGCCAACAATTACAGCACAATAAAAGAAAACCAGCGACCAACTTCACTTACATAAAATTCAATGCAAAAAAAACCCAAATAAAATACACCATGACATTAAGAGGAGAAATCACCAGAACCAAGTGGGACTTGTACATTCAAAGACAAAAAGGCCATCTTTTAATTTACTTTATTTGAAAATATATTAAAGGAGAAAAGTCATGGTCATCCTAGATGCTGAAAGACATTTGATAAAATTTGCCAGTTATTACTAAATCTTTAATTGAATTAGAATGAGGGATATTTTTTAACATGATAAAATTACACAGACACACAAACTCATTAAGCCAAAAGTCAACATCATGTGTGATGGTTGGAAGCAAGAGAACTTTCCATGAGACTCTGCGACAAAAGAATGACCTCTATCACCATTATTGTGTTTGGGAGCTTCTAGCTGATGAAGTAGGTGAATGAAAAAAAGAGAGTTAAGGAGAAAGAAAGGGGTGAAATAATCATGCTTACTCTGGAAAATTTAGGAGAGGCAATGGAAAAATGTGGCACAGGGGAAAGGATTTCACTGAGGGATCAGGTACGGAAGTAACACACCCCAAAACACCCAGATTTCCTATGGACAAATAGCAACTGGAAAAGTGAACAGAAGAAAGCATCCCACTTACAGCAGCACCCCCCAGAAATAAAACTCCCAGAAATGAATGCACTCACATGCATATAATCTATATGAAGAAATCTTTTAAAGGCTGCTAGAGGGTATAAAACACTTCAAATGAACAGAAAGCCATAGTGTACATGTTCTTTTTTTTATTTTCTTATTTTTTT